ATGTTGGTTTGAATAATTCACTAAAAGCTTAGTTCATTCTCATTTAATTCGAGCCTGTCAAGGTTCGAACTTGTTGTTCTGCAGGTGCGGATGTTTTCACAGACTACGACGGAAATTTCTTAGACTAAATATTTCTAAGTCCACCTGTTACTAACACTAGATTCGAGGTCACGTCCACTACAACTCTCTCTCTTGTAGTTACTAACACGGACGAGCCCCTTCCCCTCAGACACCATCTTCGTTTCAAGCGAAGAGGAGCTGGTTTTTCCTCCTCTAAGAATCCAGCGTTCAAGGACAAGACAAGCTCACAAGCTAAAGAGCAGATTTTAGCCTAGGTCCACGACACCATTAGTCGTGAATCAAACTACAAGTTTTTGAGGCTCCACTGAATTTTCAAAACCTCTGTGAGAAACCTCTTAGTCTGAAAGAGGAACTAGTTGGAGGTGATTCTCCTTCGAACGAGCTGAAGGACCACAAGATGCTGGAATAATCAAACCACTTAAGTCTTTCTGGACAGTTAAGTGTTTCTGAGCGGACCTCTTGCTGACCCGGGTGAGACCTACTCCACGCCTAACCTGACTTTGAGGTCTCCTGAAGGTAAAGGCTGAATCGTTTGATTAAAAGYGCATCTGTGTCCGGCTGTGTCGAGTGGGAGAATCGTGTGCAATTCTGGCTCCTCATTGATAAGATAACTTAATTACCCTTCCTTAACACTCTTTTCCTCTCTATTCCTTAATCTTTGCCCACATTCCCTGCCAAACCTTTAACAGTGCCTCAAACAATGGTTTATTTAAGAACTTAAGCCTGAAGAGTTTGTTGTTCCTGATGAAGTTGTAAAACAATGATAATTAACCTGGACGTGAGTTAATGGTTGTTGATTTCAACTTTTATAAAAATCTAATTGTCCCTCAATGAGTTGTACATAAGTAATTTATTTTATTCTGTAAATAAATATCCTTTATTTTAGATAAAACTAAGTTACTGACTATGTCCACTCATTGTGTGGTTCTCTCATAATTCCACAGAGAAGGTATTATTAAACTCATGATTTTCCTCATAACTTCAGTTTTGAGAAGAAGTAGATTCAACCCCTACACCAGTTTTAGAAAGGACAATGATGAGAGGGCAAACTGACATGTTTTGTTATGTAAGCTCGCTTTAATTTTTTATTTTTCAGATGTGTTTTGTCTTTAAATAGAACAAAACGATAGCTTCAGATCAACTGAACAGAACTGATTGGACAGAAAAATGTCGAAAACATTCAAAATGTGAAAAAAAAAATCAAAGTAAAAAGTATATTAATGGAGTTCAAATGATCTTGTGAGTGGATACTAATAAGCTGCTGTGTGCTTCTCAAWGTTTAAGCAGTCTTGGCAGTAATAGTGCAGCTGATAATTAAATAAATCCCACTTAAAAAAACAAAAACAAAAAAGATTTTTTAAGAACAAAATGTTGAATTTTTATTTGCAGCTGTTGAATATTTAGAAGAAAGCACTTAAATCACAATTGAATTCGTCTTCTTTGTACAATATGAAATGTTATTTGCCAGTGTTATTAAAAAAACTATTATTTGTGTGAAATTACTGATTGTGACCTAGATTAGTAGATTCAAAGAAGTAGCATCACCCTACCTGTAGGGTTTCCAGGGTTGATGATGCACAGGGCCCGGGGGTTGCAGTACAGCCTGGCCTCATCCAAAGCCCGCTGCAGCTCAGTGATGTCCAGACTCCAGCACTTCTCTTCGTTAAGGTAATAATTAATTTGGACAGCACCGAGTTCTGCCAGCGCAGCTGAATACAGGGGATACTGAGGTATCGAGATCATGACGCCTGTACGCATTGTACCCTCGCCACACACCAGCAGCTTCAACATGGTCTGAGAGGGCAGTGGAAAAAACAGACACAAAAATGTGTCAGTTCAACCGGTTAATGGCTGAACATTAACAGACACATCACTGACAAACTCTCTCTTAGTTCAAACAGTTCTCTATTTTTTGTTGCTGTAAATTTTTTTTAGAAAAAATACTAAAACCGTAAGACAGCATTGCTCAAACAAGGTCATTCCCCAAGAGCTATTAGCCAACAATTGTGTGAAACATATGAAAGATTTTTGCAAACTACTGYTGTAATTTCATTTAAAACTCTAATAAAGTATTTTCTCCAATTTTGAAAGAGTAATAAATGACAAACGCTAGATGCAAGCCAGAATAAGAGTCACGCTGTACCACAATGCCGTCGCTGGCGCCTGTTGTGAGGTAAATGTTGTCTGGATCGCAGGGAACACCGCCGTCTCGCCGCTCGACGTAACGAGCCACATCCTGACGCACCGACCCWATACCTTGACTGGGGCTGTAGGAGCCTGAGGGGAAATTCAAACAGAGATTACACTTCGTGTGGCTWCAAATAAAACGAAAACAGAAATATATCAACCAGATGGTGAATAAATGTGATAATTAGCAACATAAAGCTCATTGTGGCGACACATCATAACCAATCACGTTCATACGCACCCATGCTGTTCCCTCCGCACGAGTTCAGAATGCGACAGGCTCTACTTTTAGCATCGTCTGGGAATGTGCTGTCACTCAGCAGTTCAGGGTAGGAGCAGAGGGCTAGCACCTACAAAGCAACACGTGGGTACATATAGAGATGTGACAGCAGAATGAACTGCAGAGTACAGTGAAACAAACTGCCTCGAACTTATCTACAAGGAAGGCTAATAGTTTTAAATAAACAGGAAACCAAAGATGCTATATTTAGATTCAACGTTGAGAGGAGGGCTTGGAAGCTGACCTGCCGGAAGAAAGTGATCGGCTGCTGGCCCATGGCGTGGGCGTCACCGATGTTGGCTTTAATGACCTCTGCAAAGGGTTTCTTCATCCCCTGCCAAACGTAAAGAGAAATATACAAATTGGTCAGTGAAAAGATATTGTCACATACAAACCTGCAGCTGAAGCTCCCATTACAACTAAAAGTTATCAAACACATATGTAAGGATACAAAAACAGCCCTTGCACAGCATACCTCATGCTTGTGGTTCACTTTTATTGGGGTTTAGGTTTATAAAAGTGATTTAAATTACATACACATGGTATAGTTTTATGATAGAACTGCAAGTGTGACTGTTTTGCTTAACTTGATGATTTTATATTAATAGATACATGCCTGGAAACATCCAACACATAACTGAACTTTTAATTCTTTATTAGGGCAGGTTTTTCATGTCTGAGTAGCATGGCTTCTAGAGAATAACAGGGGACCACCCCCCCACTGATGACGTAATCACATAGGCGGAGCCAGGCCCTGAAGCTTTTTGTTAAAACTGTTTGGACTTCCTCATTTCGGTCAGATCTTTTGGTGACTGTTTATTAAACCAGATGTCAGCAAAGAGCGCTCTTTGGTTTTGTAAGGTTCCTCTTTAATAATCTCTTCCATGCACTGTACATGCTCCGTATGGGTTAAGCACACAGCCTGTAAACGAACACGAACAACTACTTTTTCTTTCAAAACTATTACCCAAACTATTAAAGAACTATCTACTCTGTTTACTTCAATGCAGTTTTCTGAACGTTATTCTGACTTAAATGTGTAAAACTTTCACATAAAGCAGATTCATAGATTTACTAGTAAGAATAAATTACTTCAAACCTAAATTAAACAGAAAAGACCACACAGCTCCTTCCCCCCACGCCCTATACTGGAATAATTACAGTTGTTTGTTTAGTGGGTGTTGCATCTTGTTGCGCTACTTTTTAAATTTCCTTCACAAAGACACACCCAACTCAGAGCAACGGGGAATAAAACAAGAAGTGGTAGGCTACAAAACGTAAAAAAAACCCTAATCCATCAAACTTCAAGAAAGCAGATTATGAGATTTGAAGAAGCAGGGAATGTCTATGAAAAATACCAAATCACTTCCACAAGCTGAGTTTTTACAGTACATAAATTAAATTGTGTAATTATTCAGAGGAATTACTTGCTATATAAACTACTGCTTGGTCTATTTGTAACAGCCTTGATAAGGACAGATTGTGTGAACACTGGGTCAAAGTTGGAACCTGAACAAACCAACTTATCATACAGTTAAAACTCTCACATATTACCATAGAATCACAATCAGACAGAAGCCTTTAACTGCCTTTCTGGAACAAGATGCAGGAAATGAACTGGCAGCAAAGGAGAGTTCATTCAGTTACTATCCTCCTAAAATAAAATAAAAAATAAAAAAAATTCAGTTACTACCCTCCAGGCCAATGAAATAATATTTGTGAAAGATAATCTCTGGGGCAGCTGACACAGCACAAACACAAGCTGCTCACGTCAGATATTAAACGCACAGCATGACACTGCAGCCGCATGAAACGCTGACATCCTGCAGCAATCAGAACAGCCTGTTTGTTTGATTTGGACAATCTAGTCTAGAGTTTATGAAGCCTGCTGGATCCTCTCACTCCACCATTGGTCACGCTTAAGAGGCGTCTCCCGGGGCTGAGCCAATAACATCGAAAATCATGAAGAACTCCCCTTTTGTGATGGAACTCTTCCATTCAGGAGGACAGGGGGGCATTTTGGAAACAAGCCAAACTCTGTTCTATGGGAGGACAGATGTTCATGTCTCCATCACCAATAATAAACAAATGTGCTGTCCTTTTATTTGGATAAAATGTGTGGATAAAAATAAAAAAAGCTCTGTGGCCATCACCATGGTTATGCTCTCAAATTCCTCATTCATTATCAACTAGGGGCTCATTAAAGACAAAACAAAGACCGCAATGTAGCAAACTGAATGTCAGGCCTTTATCAGAGCTCTGGTTGAGCAGTTGGCTCAAAAACTGTGCAAATCTTCAACAACACATGCTTTGTACAAAGTAAGAAAAAAAACACACAACACCTGCACTGTCTCAGCCCTAAAAAAAACTAAACTGTGTCGTAACAGGAGTAGGGAGCCGCACTGTACCATCAGGTGTGTTTAGACCCAGACAAAAGAGAGAAATAATAATGACCTGTTTCTTAAAGTAACACAACACCATTCAAAGGAGCGTTACATAAAGTRAAGGGAGGTTTGAGCTACTTAGAACAGGAGTTGACCAGTTCAGTAATCCTGTAAAACACTGAAAAAACTGAGAGGACTTAAAGTACAAGAAGTCATTTGTGGAGAAAAAAAGCTGCTGAACTTCCTCTGTCCCAGATGAAAACCCAATAGCTACCCTCAGCTGCAAAATATTACAAGCATTGCATCACTTCTCCTTTAAAAATGCACCAAATCCCTCAAGGCACCCGACTGCTTTTACCAACCGGTGATWTTCTGCTTTTTTGAGCACCGAAACATCAGTCAAACTCTCGTATGTTTGAGAAAAAATAAATAAACGAACTGGGAAAAGGTCTGATTAAATCACATTAWTAAAGAATGGGATCAACTCAGGACATGGGTTCAAGTCTGAGCGAACAGAAAATAACGTCTTTGGGGTCAGTGAACCATCTGCTGAAAAAGGTTAGCGCTATCATTACAGTCCCTGCTGGGCCACACTGCAGAACCCATCCACATATTCGTTGTTTCCTGAGCAAAGCACTCAGAAAACAGTTTTTTATTGCACTCAGTACACTAGCAGCTGCCACATCACCCTAAACAGGGAGAAAGGAAGAGACTGAGCTTTGAAAGAAGAAAAAAAAAGTCCTTGTCGTCCAGGACTTGTCACACTATGTTTTACACAGCTTAGGAACTTTTTTTTCCAACATTAAAAACATCTACGCTGAAGCCTTATTTGGACGTGTGCATTCTGTAACGTTAAATATAAATATAGTCTATGACAGGGCCTTTACTAATTTGTGACAAACACTGAAAAACAAATACCATATTATAAACTAAAGTCAACTGTCTCTTATTCAGATACTGAATTCACAAATTACAAAGTTGAAAGCTAATATCAATAATGACATAAACAGAGACAAATTAGGAGAATCATTAAATGCAATATGTCTTTGAATCTTATTAGGAGGAATAACAGATAAACCCATCTTATAAACAGATTTACTCTGCAGTAACAACTGACCATCCTTTTCTGGAAAAGGTCACGTTTAGAAATGAATAACTAACTGATGGACTTTGATAAGAGAGCAACGTGCAGAGAAAACAGCTGCTTTCTTTATGGTGTTGCTTTACAGATGAGTTAACACAAGGAAAGTTTGGCCAATTCCTGATAATCATGTTTTGTTTGAATATATTCTGGGGATAAAAGGGGCAGACATTWTAAGMTTMTTCTTCTGCTACGTTTCATTTTATTTTGATTTGTGTATTTTCTTTGTTTTTAGTTATTTTTTTAATTGAATTGAAAACTAACTAGAAAACAAGTCATCTAAAAGAGGAAAGACGTTCTGAAGTTAAGTGAGAGGAGAGGACACAGATGGTTTTAATATCAGCCTCTGTTACACGAACCTCACTGAGCTCCCTCTCCAGCTCCACGGCCCTCTGCACGATGGGCCCACGCACGGCGTACTCCACCTTCTTCACGGTGGGGTTCATGGTGTCAATGGTCAGCACCTTGGCCCGGGACATCATCCCGTTCTCGGACATCTTCTCTTTGGGAAGCCCACGTCGCGTGGCACTCAGACTCGATAAAGCTCTGTCGGTGGAAAGGGAGAGGGAGGACAGAGGAGAAGTGAGGCTACCGGCGAACAGCGCGCTGCGAGCCGGCCTGAGCAGCCGCAGGTTGTGGGGGAGCAGCTGCAGGAGCGTGGTTGACATTTTTTTTACTCGGCTCCTTTAAAAAAAAAAGAAAGAAAAAAGAAAAGAAATGTGGTTCGCTGACAACAGAGAAATCAAAGCTGTAAATCCTGGCACCGCGGCTCTGATGACTCGGACCTTGGACTCGTCGAAAAACCGGATTCAGCAACTCGCGAATAATAAAAAAAAAGATCCAGTAAGAAAGCACGCTCCTGTTAAAACTTTCTCTCTCTGGACAGCTTCGTGGTTGCACTCATAATAAAGTTACTCTAGCCGGTATAAGTATCCCGATCCCGGTCCTGCCCCTTATTCAGCACAGTCATCCCGCCCCGGTTCTTCTCCCCTCCTCCCCTGACCCCCACCAGGCTGCCTGAGGCTGTCCATCAGGTCAAGCGGCTGCAAACAAATAAACAAAAACAACCGAAAGTATGGCTTTTCACAGCTTTGAGCCTCTCCCTTTGGGCGGAGGCACAGMCGCTGCTGAGCTTCATTCCTCCCGCATTTCACAAGTTCCCTTTGAGTCAGTAAAAACAAATAAAACTCAGCTGAACTAACCGAGGGACCACTGGTTTCAGTTTACCCTTTAACCTGTTAAACTGGGATCAGTCTCCCAGAAACTCAGACTGATGTGATCATCAACCAGGGTGCTACTAAACTAATAGAAAAAAAAGAGAAGTTTCTCAAGTTTTTCTAGYATTAAAACAAATGTTTCACAAAAAACATGAACACACTGAGTCAGAATATGAATTTCCAAATTTGCACAGTGCAAAGGTCAGAGCACTTACTGTACTGTATGTAGGCTATAGTCTAGTGCATTTTTCATTCATTTCATTTCATTAAAAATAAAATAAAGAATAATAAAAATACAAAAAATACAATAAAATAAACCCTAATAAAATGAAATAAAAGGCAGCAGAAAGAAGAAAAAAATCTTATATCTGTGCCTTTCCTC